CGGCGCCCAGGTGGCGCCGGCTGCTTTAACCCCTACGCTGCCTCACACCCGCGGCAGCGGCGCGCGCCGCCTGAGGAGGCGGGCGGCGCAGCCCTCACGGTCCCACCGGCTCGGGAGGCGCGGCCACGCCCCCGCCCCGCCCCCCGGCTTGCTCCCACCTCGGGCCGTGGCCCCGCCTTCGGCCTCGTTCTCACCGCGGGCGGTGGCCACACCCCCCGCGCTGTCACCTCGGCTGGGGGCCCCGCCCTCTGCCGAGCTGTCCCCACGAGGTACCGCGCCGCCCCCAGGGCCTCGATCACTCCACTGGGTGGTGGCACGTCTTCAAGTCCCGCGGAGCTCCGCCTGGTCATGGGCTCTTCTTGGATACCTGCTGGCCCAAGGGGCCTGAGGACATTCCTTCAGCTCAGGTGGTTTGCAGTCTGGAATTTAGTCCTGCGACCCCAGCACAGCTAAGCCGTCAGGAGAGGGAGCCCTGAGAGCAGGAGGGGAAGGATGACTCAGGGATATCAGGGACGAGATCATTCTGCACATCACCCCGAGAAATAGGGGTGATGTGCAGATATAGGGGAGGGGGGGGGACCGCTCACGGATGAGAATACAAAGCAAAGAATCTCCTTCGCAGTAACTCCCTCACTGCCGTGGAGTCAGTAGTGACCCCAGAGCCTGCAGGTATTAAAACAATCAATATATGCCCACCATGTCCTGCGTGTGGTGAGACCTGTAAGTGGGAATTCAGGGAGTCTGCCTTGTTTTTTTCCAGGCCTCCCAAGTTTTCCACATGCAGTCTTAGCATGTTTTTCTCCCTTGTTTTAGTGGGAAACGGTCGAGCTTTCCTCCTCTGACAGGTTTCCCACTCACACAGGTTCTGACTTTGTGCAGGTTTATTATACATTGTCCTGACTAATCCTCACTGGAACCTTACTATAATCACTGTCACTCTTCCCACTTTAGAGGCAGAAATGGAGGCCCGAGACCTTGGGGGCATTACACCTGACAGAATCCTGGCAAACTGACTGCAGAGTTCAGGTAAATCATGAATCTTTCTTCACCTATGAGAAGGCTGGAGGAAAACAAATGGCAATTTGTTGATGACCAAGATGGACTAAGTGCATGTAGATAGTCATTATGGGGAAAGGTTTTTGCAATGATCAAAATACAGATTGAATTGCCCACTGGGTGAAATCCAGATAGTGCTTGTTTTGACTGGTGCTGCTTGTCTCTGATTTTCCCTCGTGGATGGCAGTCCGTTTTTGAGTTGGACTATACTTTGGTTCTTTTCATTCCATTGAAATTTCAGGATACCAAGATGCCAAAACAGTCCATTTCACATGACTTTTGCCATTCATTGAGTTGCTTCCAACTCATAGTGACCCTGTGCTTAACAGAAGGCAATGTTGAACCCCGTCAGGCCATGTTCTGTTGTGATCCAGAGGATTTTCATTGGCTGATTTTCAGAAATCGGTTCCTAGGCCTTTTCTCCTATTCTGTCTTTGTCTGGATGCTCTGTTGAAACCTGTCCATCATGGGTGTCCCTGCTGGCATTTGAAGAGCTAGTGGCATGGCTTTCAGTATTATAGTAACACGCAAGCCACTGCATTATCGCAAACTCACGTGCCTTTTATTCCTCATTAAATTCAGAACCTGAGCAGCATTCACATATGCACATGGCTTTCTTCTCTCAGATTGAAGGTCAGCATCCAAAGGGTCCTAATCCTTAAGGATGGCTTTGCCCACTCTTGAATGGAAAAGCGGCAGATGATAGCAGGGTTCCACCATCTATCTTAAAGCTAAACCGTGGTGCTGTGCCAGCAGTGGAATGTCATGACAGTATTTAAGATGTTTACCTTAAGCAGAAATCATGGACCCGTGGTGAAATCCAGTAACAGTTCCTATTTATTTGTTTGTTTGTTATTTATTTCACAAAAGGACAAATTTCCCCCTATTCTATAGAGACATGCATATGAAGAGTAAACAGGATTCTTAACCTAAAGAGGTTCCAGCTATTTCATTTTCCTTGATGCAGACATACACAAGGGACTTTTGCTTGCTTTTCTTCAACTTCTCCGTTACTGTGAGAATGAACTATTACATTGCTAACTCTAGCTCTGGGGATCCTCCTCAACACGGTTCCACTGTCTAACATTTTTGGTGGTTAGGTGCCATTGTTCAGATCATGACCTACGTACAGCAGAAGGAAACACTGCCTGGGCCTGGGCCATCCTCACAGTTGTTCTTCTGTTTGAGTTCATTATTGTAGCCACTGTGACCATTGACCTTGTAGAGGGTCTTCTTTTTTTTTGCTGCCTTGCTGCTTTACTAAGCATGATGTCCTTGTCCAAGGACTGGTCTCTCCTGACAACATGTCCAAAGTACGTGAAATGAAATCTCGCTGTCCTTGCCTCTAAGGAGCATCTGGCTGTACTTCTTCCAAGACAGATTGCTTGGTTCTTTGAGCAGTCTGTGGTACTTTCAGTATTCTTCCCCAGCATCATAATTCAAAGACATCAGTTTTTCTATATAGTATTCTGTATTCATTGCCCAACTTTCACATGCATATGAGGTGATTGAAGATACCATGACTGGGTAAAGCGCATCTTCGTCCTCAAAATAACATCCTTGCTTTTTGACACTTTAAAGACCTCTTGTGCTACAGGTTTGCCCAAATACATTTGGGCAGATGTATTTTTGCCCAAATGCAACACGCCCTTTGTTATCTTGAGTGCGCCCTCCATGATCATTATGGTGGGTCCTAACAAGATGAAATCCTGGACAACTTCCGTCTTACCGCCATTTATCCCATTTATCCGCTGGTCTAGGTGGGAGGATTTGGATTTTCTATACATTGAGTTGTCATCCAGACAGAAAGCAAACAATCCTTGATCTTCATAAGCAAATGTTCAAGCTCTTTTCATTTTCAATAAGCAAGGTTATGTCATCTGCCTAGGGCGGCTTGTTATGAAGGCTTCCTCTGATTTTTACACTGCCTTCTCCTTAGGCAATGATAATTTTCTACTTGTGGACTTAGCCCTAAGCACTATGTCCCTGTGAGTAGTAAGAAGAGAGCAAGCAGACCATGGAGAAGTGTTTAGAGCAGTGGTTCTTACAGTTTTTAGTCTTAGCATCTCTTTTTTTTTATATGGTTTAAGTATTAATTTTATTTCCATCTTATAGATGAGAAAATTGTGGGTCAGAAATGCAATGGCATGTTTACAATAATCTGGGTTAGTAGCCACTTTTATCCATCATGACATTCTCTCAATGCTTACATGCCTGCTTCTCTGGGCAGTGTACTTCGGCATCTTTTAGTCTACCAGATGGAAGTGTTGGTTATGCATAGAAATTGGTTAGGAAGTAAGTATGAAACATTTTACAGGGCGCTTCAAACATATAACAGTTTGTAGTCTGAAGAGTGCATTTTAAAAAAAATTATTTTATTGGGGGATCGTACAATTCTCATCACAATCCATACATCCATCCACTGTGTCAAGCACATATGTATATTCGCTGCCCTCATCATTCTCAAAACATTTGCCCTCCACCTCAGCCCTTAATATCAGTTGCTCATCTCTTTACCCTCTTGAAAACTGCCCAAGATTTCAAAAACTTTTAGTTAGGTAGGCTATTGACATTGTATTAAAATTTAAAACAGATATCTAAAAATACTACAATAAACCATTTACACGTTAACATAATAAATTTACTTTTGTGAAAATAAACATATGTTCCCACCCCACCCTGCACAAAATGAGTGAGACTAGCACAACAAGTAAAGTAAAACTATGAAGAATATTAGTGAGAAGGATAGCGCTGTTTTTTTGAAAAGCTTTTTAATGTCTGGCTTCATAGAAAAAAGCTGGGTATTGATGTCTGTTCCTCTGGTTAACCTGTGGTGTTGCTGTTTTGATTGAAAGATAGGAAGGAAACAGAACCTCTTAAGACAGGTGGTCTGAAAAAGGAGGAGTATTTTAATAGTCTTTGAGAGCATTTAATTTTCTTTGTTAAGAAACCAATACTGGACAAATGAGAGCTTCATCAAGGTTCATGGATATGCAATTTGAAACTCCGTCAAGGAAATTCATTATCACTTTTCACTTTGAATGGATCCTCCACTCACCCATGTCTAACACTGTAAAATCATGCACTGGTCATTTGGAAAATGTTGGTTCATGGACTTTTTACAGATCTTCCATGTTCGATCACCTATCCCTATAGAATACATTTTAAAAATCACATTCATGAATATGCCCCCTGATCTTCTCAAAAAAGTTCTTCAAAAAACCAACATTTTATTGGGGGCTCATACAACTCATCACAATTCATGCATCCATCCATCGTGTCAAGCACATTTGTACATTTGTTGTCATCATCATCCTCAAACCATTTGCTTTCTGCTTGAGCCCTTGGTGAAAAGTTCTTAAATATTGAAAAGTTGTCAAGATAACTCAGATGAGTACAAGTTTTCCAAAATTCTTATCTTCAATAAAAATTGCATTTTATCACTGGAAACAAATATTACCAGCTGCTTTTCTTGCTACAACAAGCTTACTTTATCAGCTCTTGAAAAAGACGTCTGCCAGCATGGTTTGTTAGTCATTCTTTCGAGTACAAGCACGGCTAGTTCAGCATCATGCAGGTACAAGTGCTGCTACTCAAGGCAGCCATTGTCTTTCATTTACCATGCAGCAGAAGGGCTTATGGATACACCCTATTTCCTCACATGGAATTTTTAAAAAGTGTTTTTAAGGTCAGTATTGAATAAGTAATGTTCACTGTTTCTTGATAAACTGAAAAAACAAATTCCCTCCCATTGAGTTGATTTCTGACTCACCGTGACTCCATGATCAGAGTAGAAGATCTCCAGGGGTTTCCCAGACTATCTATCTTTATAGGTGTAAAAAGCCTCACCTTTCTCCCCCTTGGAGTGGCAGGTGATTTCTAACTGCTAACTGTAAGGGTGGCAGCCCTGCATGTAACCCACTACCCTACCAGGGCTCCGGATTTAATAAAAACAGTTATTTTTACTGTTTAAAAAAGAGAAAAGAAAAAGAAATGGAACTGGCTTTCCCTCACCCCTATCCCCTGTGAGGGCTTGGTAATGAGAATATCACGTGGCCAACATAGAATGGTGCCCTCTGCTTGGCGCTTTACACTCAGTAATCAGTACGTTTCACCACCATTGCTTTTGCACTGGTTTTTCACAACAGTAAGAACTGAAAATAGGATTAGACAATTAGTATTGTAATGAATAAAGTTTCACTATGAGTCAGAATCAACTCGATGACTTGGGATGGAATTCCTATTAGAGGGCTGTCAAAGAGTTGGGGGAAATTTTCGCTTATCTTTAAATTCCACTTTTCCACATGCTTTCTGAAGCCCACTTGCATTTGTATTAATACTGGTGTTGACACCTGGATCTTCTGATAGATTTGCATGTAACCCATTTTAATGCATCATGGATGCATTTCCACTTATACACATTATACCACAGTGGCAGTTAAATTTTATGTCAACTTGAACTTGTGTGAAAGTGTAAGGGAGGAGTCCAACCTATTAATCAGGTCACAGACTTATTTACCTCCTTGGGAATTTGGCCTTTTTATAAGAGAAGCACTGGGGACCTCTCTCTCTTGGCTTCACCTGCTTACTTAGATTCTGCCTCCAAGAGGGGCCCCTTGCTCACACCATGAAGCACCAAACCTGGACTTTTCCTTCTTTGAAATCTTAGTGACATGACAGCACTTGGAGTTTTTCCCAAGTTGATTATTTTTATTAACATCTTGATCCGTTAAAAACTGGAAAGTGTAAAAGACAAAACATTTTTGAGAAAATTTGTTTTGGAAAAGTCAAGTGTTGAAGAAACAGGAGAAGCTGGGAAAACATGTGATAAAGCAGCCCTATGGTTGATATTTTCATGTGGCAGTGACAAGTATGTGCTTAAAAAAAAAAAGCTGTGTATTTTACTTACGAACGGCTGGCAGAAACATGTAAGTCTAAAAATCCACTCCTAAGGAAGAAAAATATTATCC